AAATCAAATATGGCTCAGAAAGTCCTAATGGAAAGAAGACAATGGTCGGCATCTTCTCCACTCCCTTGATACTTCTTTACAGTTGAGACAGAGGAGGAAGGAAGGCAGGAAGGCTGCAGGATCAAGGGAGGGGAGAATCAAGTAAGATTAAGGACTGAGAACTCATAAGCCAGGTGAGCGAAACCATACAACCATACTTTGAAAGCACACATAATCAAGACTCAAATAGATCATTGTCAAACAAGTCTTACGGTTGACCATATTTCTCCTCACCTCTATGAAAGGTCTTGCAATCTTGGGTGCAATGGTTTCGCTGACAGATGGTTCCTGAGAAAGCACCACAAATTCTTCAGCTTTCACAGGAAAGCCAGCATCATCCATGGGCGAGTAAACTTCAAACAGCTCCTGGATAGTTCGCTGAACACAAGCAATGAGCACAGTCATTTCCAGGAACAGACATAATCCTGCACCTGACCTGAGCCTTGGGCAGCATAAAAACCCACCATCAAATCATCCCTCATTAGTGAATTCAGATCAAAATAAGATGATTCTGTTCACTGTGGCATTCCTCACTAAGTGAAGGTGGGAGGTGAGACAGGGCCAGGCTGATTTCTAAAGTATCATCCTCCTGCCTCAGCCTCCTGAGTGCTGAACTACAGTCCTGTACTACCATGCCCAGTCACCCAGGATTCTTAACAAATGAAAGCTACCTGAGTTAAGAATGCCATAGAGTAGTCATTTCCCTGAGCAGCTACTTCCCGGATTAAATCTTTAGTTCCATTTTTCAACAATTTCTCTTCAATAGAATTGCCACTGACAAGCCTACAAAAAAAAGAAGGGGGAAAATGTACACATATACAGATGACACAACAGTTAAGTTCCCTAGAAACACATGCCAATACCAGGTCCAGGTGTTCAGATGGTAGCCAGAGAAGCAGCAGATGCCTCACATGCTGATCAACATCTATTAAGCCACTATCTGTCAACCTCTCTCCAATCTCAGCTCTAGTGAGCTCTGGAGTCTGTGTTGCATCCCTCTGCTTGCCAATGTTTCTCCTACCACATTCAACCTAGGCACGTCTCACTCAGTCCTGGACTCATCCCTACTGTCTGTCTTTGACACTTTCTGACCACAACAGGCAGAGTTATTCTCTGACTTGCCTAGTAAGAGACTTTTAAGAGAGGTTCCATTCTCAGTTAAGTATAAACAGTTTCCATCTGTCTCCTGCAAGCTGCTAGGCCAAGAGAGTGCTGTGGGTGTTGTCCCCACTTAACAGACAATGGAATAGACACCATCTCAAGGTAATGCCCCCAGCAGGCCCCATCATCCAGTCTATTATTTTCTACCTTCACTGCTTTGTTTTAAAATATACTTTTAAAACATTATATATATGGGTGTTTTACCTGCATGTATGTCTGTGTACCATTTGCATGCCTGGTGTCCGTGAAGGCCAGAGGGTGGCACTGGATTCCCTGAGACTGGGGTTACAGACAGTTGATGAGCTGCTGTATGGGTGCTGGGAATTGAACTTGGGTCCTATGGAAGAGCAGCCATCTCTCCAGTTCTGCTTACTTGTTTTTAGGGTGTTAAATGCTAACAGTTAAGAAAGCTTAAATTAAACCATTTTAACAAAAATTTCCACAGGGATAAAAAGAACAAATGAGAATTTTCCAAGAGAAAAAAAAAATTAAGAAAAAGTGACCAATAGGGGCTGGAGAGATGGCCCAGCAGTTAAAAAAACACCGACTGCTCTTCCAGATGATCTGGGTTCAATTTCCAGCATCCATATGGCAGCTCATGCCTGTCTGTAACTCCAGTTTCAGGGTACCCAGCACCCATGGCAAAACACCAATGCACATAAAAATAAAAATAAATTATCCTTAAAAAAAAAAAAAAGGTGACCAATCAAGAAGCCCTGCCGTTTCATCATTAATGCAGGTTCAATATATGCAGTTTGATTATGTACGAGGAACGGGGAAAAGCAGCAGATTCTAATCCATGAGGTTACCACTACAACAATTCTATTTCTATCCACCTTTAGTTTATAAGCACATTAATGCTCTGCATGCACAAAACAAGATGGTGCTTCCTTACAGTCATGTAATAATAGCACATACATGAGGTGGGTTGGGTTAAGTTTTATTGAGACAGGCTATCACCAGGCTAGCTTCAAAACTCATGATCTTCCTGTCTAAGCCTCCTGAATGCTGGGATTTTAGCATGTGCCACCATGTTCAGTATGGGTAACATTAAAAACAAACAAAAAACCTGACTGACAGAGAGAGAGAACGAGAACACAAGCACACAGACAGACATGTATTTGCCACAACTCATGTGGGGAAGTCAGAGAACAACTTGTTACCACAATTGTCAGTAATAGTGACAATGCTCCTTCTACCCTGTAGGTCCATGAGATTGAGCTCAGGTCAGGTGTGGTGACAAATGTTTAATCAACTGAGCTGTCACATGGGCCCCATGAGTGACTTTTTAACAGATATATTTTACAGTGTGGTCCTCAAAGCAAAATAAGCGGCCATCCATCAGATCAGCTGTGCCTACTTGCAAGAGATCACCATGAATGGACTTATCTCTCAGAAAGATGGACTGGGAGAGGGTCAGGAACTCTTATCTCTGTATGTGATTCTGCACTAACTGCTTGTGGAGGGGCCAGAGAATATAGGCCCAGGGAAGATGGAACACTATGCAGGGGTTGTCATCCATTCTAGGGTGCAGCTAGTGCTGGTGCTTTGAGGTTACCCACATTCCTGTAAGGAACCGCTCACAATCTGTAAGCCCAATAAACTCTTGTAATGTTTCCCAAGTTAGGCTTTAGTGGCATCAAACTTTGGCTTGTCTTTGGGGCCTTCCTTATAAGGAGGCAGATGGGAAGGAATTCTTGCAATACATGTTTTTATCATTGTTTGCCTTTCCAACCCTTTCCTCTAGGAAGTCAATGCAAAGGCTATTAGCAAAATGCTACTAGCCTGGGTGTTACCCGACAGGTCTTTGATGTATACAGCATGAGGCAAATCCTGTCTGTCCTGACATGCTAACCTAAACTTGCTCCCTTTGCTAAGAAGCATGAAGAAGGTCCCTATGAACATGCTTTCCTTCCGTCTGTAACAGGTGTATGGCTGCACCCTAATGGGTGTTCTCAAATCCTGCAATGAACAACCTTACACTGTGGGGCAGATGCCTTGATGTGGTTATGACAGGATAAAGGACATGACACTTTAATTTCAACGAGTCTTCTCATGTTGCTTTCAGAAGAGCTGATGCAATCCCTGTGCCCCATAGACATGGCAGCTTCCATTACTATACTCAGTTTCTCTTTGATATGCTGCCTGTCTGTAGTCCTAAAGAGACATTTCATGTTTAACCTGAAATCATGCTACCCAACAGTGAGCTGGATCTTTTTCAGGCTGTGACACTTAGAAGTGACTATTCACACATATTTCTAGGCTCTCTCTATCCCCACTTTTAAATAAGAGCACCTTATTTTTCAACTTATAAGACTGATCTGACCTTTGCCTTAAGAATTGTAAGCCACTCCCTCCAATCTTATCATTTATCTGTTTAATTTGTTTCATATTTTTCTTCAACACTCAACATGGAGCCCATTCATCTTTTGCCTGTCTAGACTATGTGGTGTTCCTAAGCAGGAAACAGTGACCCAGCCCCTTTCTCTCACTTAGACCAGCGAAGGGTCCAGCACACTCACACACAGACTAGCACTATATTAGAATAATAAATAACAACCAGAAATTTTAAAGTGGGCCATGGGGCCTTCTGTCTTCCCAATTAGCTGGGAATGGCCAGTTAAAATTTATATGCTTGAAGATAATGAGACATATCTCAAGTCTTTCAACAGATACTTTGTATTTTATAATTCTTTTTTTTTTTTTTTGGTTTTTCG